TGACAGACGGACGCACGCACGCACGGACGGACAATCATGCGATTCTACAAGCTGCATCCGACTTCGTCAGCTGAGCTAAAAACCAATCCAAGCTCGTAACCCACTGTGTTTATTTAACAATTTCCTAACAAAACATAAATTGGATTCCTGCCCTTTTAATCCTTGATGTATTTCATGTGGATAAGCTTTTAGGAGATATGACTCAATTAATTTTCCGAGTAAGATTACTGTATGTCCGTGTTTGTTTCCTCAAAATGCTTAAAATGATAGAGAATTTTCAATTAACACTTATAGTTTATTAATGTATAAAAAATATTAAAACTAGCTACGAGTTATTTCTCTAACTTACGCTCTAAGCAAGAAAATCCAAAAACCCACAAAATATTGTTTAAAGTGCAATTCTATCTTAGATTTTGACACTAAACCCATTTAAATTAATTACCTAAGAATATGCTGGTACTTGGAACAAAATTAGATACTCTGGTAGCAGGTGAGGTACTTAGAAAAGGTAAATCAGTCATATGTTGGCTTACACATCTTACTAGACTCCCACCCATTGGTCATTTTCAAAATACAAATGCATGCCCAATTATACAAGTAATTTGAATCTCGTAGCCTTGAAATTCCTGTCAGGAAATCACTGCGCGAGTCAATTAAAGTATTATAAAAATAAAAAAATACCAAATACATAACTTATATTATTAAACATTTGGCACCAGTCCAGTTCAAATTTAAATTCAAATTAAAAAATCTGAGGTTCGACTGCCGCGCCGCATGGGCTACAGATTCAGAGTATTGTGATCTCGGAGCAAGCCACTTTCACTTTAATGCTTCAGTGACAGTCACCCATTGTATCTGTAAGCATGATCATACATGAGAGTATGCATGCATTCGTGCTGTAGTAGTAATGACTAAGCACACAGCAAAATAGCTAGAGGTAATAGATATGCCGGGTACAATATAGTCCTTTGACTTTTCTGCATCAAAGAAAGACTACCTGGCAAAAAAGTCAAAAAAGTTAAAGGCAGAGAAAAGTCAAAGGGCTATATTATTGGTAGCTCTACAGGTGTAGCTTTGTGCTTCCAGGACTATATGAGGCATCTTAGTAGCATGGTATGCTACATAGTAGCTTCTCATGTACAATAAAAAAAATTTCTAGCCGACAAAATAAGTGCTGACCTCAGCCCGCGACTATATACAAATATTAACACACCGTAACTTGGTAAAATTTGTTATTTATCAAATGCAAATGTTTTCTTAACTGATGCTGCCATGAGTAATTCCTGTCTAGATAATCTCTAGCAGTGCCGCTAGTGATTAGTGGTTGGCTACACAAGCACAACCTGCATCACCATGCATGAGTAATTTTTTTAATTATGAGTAATTTTTTAGGCACAACCTGCATAAGTAATTTTATTTTGCTGGCTAAGAACATTTTTATTGTACTATGAGCTACAGTGTAGCCTGTCATGCCATAAAGGTTCCTCCCAGAGTGAACTTATAACAATCCAATATAGCACTGTTTCAGGGAATGAACTTGAATAGGGAGAGCCATATTATTGGTATTATTGGAATCCTGATCAGGTTGTGATACTCTAACGTCTATAAACAGCCTCATACCCATTGATTGCAACACTTTCTACATGAATAAAAACTGTTGAACAACTAAATATTATTATATCTCAGACATCCTCCTCTGGTACGTGGAAAATCTGAAATGACGCATGTTTAACCATTTGAAATTGAAATGTTAGTTACACTGTGGTGCCGTGCGTTTGTCTTGTCTTAAACTCTGTCAGTCGATTTCCGACTTTAGTCAAACAGAGGTGGGCGCAAGCACAGGCACTTGGAACGTCTCAATAAAAAAGTGCTCTCTTATTCATGTTGTTTGTGCACGCAGCACAGCGCGGGCGGGCGTTTGGTGGGCGCAAATCCACTTTAGGCACCTTATGTATCACGAAGTGATGCACAGATTTCTGTGTATCATCAACTGATGCACAGACTTTCCGTATATCAAGGAATGATGCAAAAACCCTAACCCTAACCCTAAGTCATAAAGTATAACCTTACTCCTTACTTAGGTATCACGAAGTGTGTTAGGGTTAAGGTTAGGGTTGGGCTTAGGGTTAGGTTTAGGGTTTTTGCATCATTCCTTGATATACGGAAATTCTGTGCATCAGTTGATGATACACAGAAATCTGTGCATCACTTCGTGATACCTAAGGTGCCTAAAATGGATTTGCACCCGTTTGGTGTACTTGTGTGTTGCAGACGAGCACTTGACTGGCATTTACAGGTGATTATAGACGAAATAGAGTAGAGAAACATTAAGACTTTGGTACATTTCGTGTTTATTTACCTTTATTTTTTTTTATTGAGACGTTCCAAGTGCCTGTGGGCGCAAGTAGCGCCAATTTCATGGTTTACACTTAATTACTTCACAAGTTCACCTCATTAAATACAAAATAACTTGGCAAATAAAGTGCTCATAGTTCACACAAGCAGGACATAGGTTTACTGATTCATTTGATTTGTACTGTAACAAGTAACGTGAATAGCATGGCGATGTTTGGAATTTTGGCCAACTATAGATTTTTGAAGAGTTTGAAACTGACTTCTCTTCCGGTGAGTGATTATTTCTTGGAACTATTGGTAGCGATAGTTCCGTTCTAGCTCTAGTACTAGTACTCAGTAGTAGTAGTACTAGTAGTAGTGCCAGTTCCGAGGCAGAGCTAGTGGCAGTGGGGGCCAGTGCAGTGTCAGTGACAGTGGTATTGGATTCTTTATGACAGCTGGCTCGAGTTAAACTTAGTCCACATCTGATCAAGGAGTCACTATAGTATTCACACGTACCTTTGCGATTACGGTACTACCGCCAATTTGACATAGGGACCACGTACGTGCTTGTACGAGACAAACATCTATGATCTGTCAAATATAAAAGCAAATGTCATGGAGGCGGCCATGTTGCAGTTTGCGCGCCCTCTATTATTAGCAAACTATTGAGACTGGACGTATTAACTATTATTATTATTATTATTATTGTTATTATTATTATTATTATTATTACTAATATAATTATATTACCATTATTTTTGTTGATTTAATGACGGTTCATTAGCTAAAGCGATATCGCAAGCTCTACACATCAGTCAAATTTCTGCTCTTTCACAGAAAAACAGTTTCATTAAATTTAATGCTTGAATTATTAAAACAGATAATTGATCAAGCATGACACATACAAAAATATTTTTGCAAAATCTTGCAGAGAATAGTACAAGAAAGCAAAATACAATATACTCTATATTATCATTTACATTACGTACATTACATTTATATAAACCAAAAATATATACCATGCAAAATTATATATATATCTATATCTATATCTATATATATCAGGAGTAGATCCCTATTATCTACTCCTGATATATATATATATATATATATATATATTATATATATATATATATATTAT